CCCCCCATCAAATACAGGGTATTTTGTACAGTGAAGTTCTTCTCATATACAGTTGAATACTGTAAATGTTGAAGCCTTTGAAGAGGGAATATTCTATAGCAAGCTACTGTCCAAAATTAAGGTATAATACAGCGTTTTTTGTTCCACCACCCATAATTCATTTTGGCACCTCATGCTGAATCAAGGCCCATTGCCTCATCTAGCACTGTCTATGTAAAGGAACAAAATGGGCATTAGATAATCGAGATTGATATCTGTTCAACATAAAAGGAACATTAAAAGGAGATAGAATTGAAAAGGATTTCCACGATGACTGACAGCAAAGAATTGGATACTAGGCCTATCTACTGCTGCTCATCCACCCTGCTCCTGGTTACTTAACAGGGTAAGTCCAATCTTATTAACAGCAAACAGCAAACAACATTACAGACAGGATTTCTCTGTTGAGTCCTGTTTGTTGAGTTTTCATTGCATTGACTGTTTTTGCTGAAATGATTAAATGAAGACCTCTTCTCTTCTTCTCCAGACAGCAATCCTATCACCATACGTTGGAAGGTAAGCAGCCATAGTGGCATCATCAATTTCTCCAATTACCAAGCTGTCCATCTGCAATGAAAACCAAGCAATAAATGAAAACATGTTAGTTATATTAAGTCAAAGCGATGGCTTGGCTTAGAAATATATCTACTATTTTTGTCAATACTCACATTGTGCTAAAATGAAAGGAGCATCTGTAGCAATTTATTCCTTCTGCTAAACTTATGCTACTTATACCTTAACCACTTAATCCACAGGCTGTAGTAACTTAAACCTTAATGGGATTTTTCATTTTACATTATTCAAACAAATCAAAATATGTCCTAAAATGTCTTTAGAACCATTTGTATCGTCCTCTTTAATTAAACAAGCATTTACATCAAGAAAAGCACTCCTCCCACATATTATTGCATGCAGCCTATCATATTCTTAATATTGCTTTTCCCCATTGACTCCCGACTTCAGCCCCCAACCAAGGACTGTGCTAGCCTTTCCATCCTTCCTCATTTATGTCAGAGCCTGTAGTTGCTACAACTCCTTGTTACACTGGAACACTGGATGGTTGCAGTATAGAGGGTAACTCCATATGAATAGGATTCTGCTGCTCTGACACAAATTGAATGCATGTTACATTTTATCGTTGTTAGTTTAGCATGGTATACTGTATGTCTTGTCCATCTATACCATACACATGAGCTGGGTTACCCTTTCTAGTTCTACTTTTATTGTATTGGAAAACAAGTTTATTCTAACAAGTAGAATTAAGTCTTACTTTGATGGTATAGAGTTTTGCATGTTGATGACATTGGAAATTTAAATAACAGAACTTCAAAAAAGTATCATATCACAAGAAAACATAAAGTAGAGCAATCTTGCATCATTATTGCATCATACCAATAAACGTTAACACTAAACCTGACCATCAAATACAAACATTTATGACGGACCTCTGTATGCTTCCCAAAGTGCAATTTATTTTAATCTGTCAAAACTGAGGACATAGCCAACTGGGATGAAAGCACAAAATCTTATTATGCTCAATGGGTGTTTCATGTGTTCACTGTCAAACTGTCTTGAAGTCAGTAGTGTTGAGGTTTACTCATCTACCTGTGATTCAGTGCAGAACAGAAAACTATTTCCCCCAAAATATTACTTGCTTTATAAGCGTTTGTGTTTCTAGAGTATTAGAGAAATCAAGTACACAGGCTATTTGAATATAAAAATGTAATTTTTTTTAAAAAGTCAAAGAATACTGAGTGGGGCTTTGCTACGTAAAGTGCAATTAGCACACTGGAATTCGGAAAAACGAAAAACCCAGAACCCTGCAAAGGTAACGTTATACTGTACTGTTCATCCATGCTGTGGCTAGTATAGTATTCTGACAGCTCTTTCCATTCATGTGCTTGTTTGTCCTCTGACTGTTTGGTCCCTGACAGTATTCAGCAGCAGGAGAAAATGGTTAAATGTCAATGAAACCAACAGAAGTGTGCAGCCCTGGCTGAGCTGGTCAGACTGGGTTAGCAAGCTCCCAGTCCCCACTGAATTTTACAAAACTGAGCTCCACCTGTTGCTGTAGTTGTTCTGCAGCTACTCCTCAGACAAAGATACCAACAGTCATTGCTACTCACTTAGATATTAACTAAAGTTGCAAATGAGAGCCACATCGTTTGTATATTTTTCATTTTAGCCCAATAAAGTGAGATTTAAAACCATGTGCCCTCCATAAAAAAAATGCAAATCAACACACAGCACAAAAAGATGTCTCATTTAGCTAATTGGAACGCTCAGCATGTGTGTGTGTGTGTGTGAGAGGAGAAAGTGTATTGACCCTGTGAGCAGATGGGCTCCTGCACACTGCTCTACTCAGGCCTAAACACACTGGGTCAAGCCAGAGAATGGATGTGGGACTGTGTGTGTGTGTGTGTGTGTGTGTGTGTGTGTGCGCGTGTGTGTGTCAGCAACCATCTGATACCTCCCACAACTGCATTGCACTCAAACTAATGCTTTACATGTGAATGTAACAAATGGAGTGCAATCAGGCCAATGGAGTTAATTACAGCGACTGTGTGTGAATGCAGATTTTCACTTGATAATCAGGGACATGGTCAAACTGCAGGAACTAAGTCCAAAGAAAAGGATTTTTGAAATTGGACAAAACAAAACATGCAAGTTTACAAATACTGCAGATTTTCAGATTTTAATAAACATAGCCCTTTTTTTGTCCATTCAGTACAACAGTGTAAAAGTACCAGCGTAACAGAGACATTCTCTATCAGGTCCTCTTTCACAGTTTCATTGAACTCCTGTGTCACTCAGATGATTCCATAAATGAGCCTAAGCCTCAGCTGAGAGGAAAACATCTGATATGAGATCTGTCTTGTGGTTGGACTGTGTTCTGGACTGGTGGAAAAACTGCTCTCACTGCCTCTTCATTACAGGCTTCTCTCTGACTCATGACTCCATTGCTGAACGCTGGAAAATCTGCCTTGTCACCAGTCATTTTAACAGCACTAGTGATACTGATGGTCTGTCTAGAGTTCCCTCTCGCCCAGTGTGTACAGGCTCCAGCCTCTTGAAACCACAGTACTGAATAACATGTTGACTTTATGTGAAGATCATTTAAATGGGGTCTGTAATGTAGCAGCTTTCTAGTGTTGATGACTCAAAGCACTTTGCAGTAAAGTTTTGCCATTCACACATTCATGTAGTGCAGCTATGTGCAGCACTTTCTCTATCCTACATCTCTTACACACAGTTGTCAGGGGGTGTTTGGGTTCAGTAAGCTGTCTTCAGCGCAAGGGAGACTGGGATCGAACTGCAGACCAAATGCATTAAGATTACTTCTGATGAAATACAAATGAAAGAAATGAGACCACATGTGCATGTGTGTACATGTGACAAGACTGTTAATTTGATGGAACCACACCCCTCTTTAGGGAAACATATTGTGATCATTTGTGACAGATAACCACTGGTTGTTTAGCGTTTACAAATCTACTTGTTAGCCCCTTTGTGTGAGTCACGTGGTCCCGAGGGTGAATGGCAGCTGTTCTCATATGATTATGCTGATTGAGTGAGACACCATGTTGTCTCCTGCTTTTCACTTTTTGATACAGTGGGCCTGATGGAGAGCTTGTCCATCAGATCCAATACAATTACAACCATTGAGAGCTTGTCCATTTATTATTGCCTCTGACACACACACACACAGCTGACATTAGGGGCGATAGGATTGGACGTGGACGTTTTTTGTTGGTTTGAGTATCTTCTATAAAAAAAAAAACATTTGTGGTTTTTGTTTATCCAGTATTGATTTCAGTAGAAGTTGTATTGTTAAACATATGGAATACAGTGAAGAAAATCACGACACAAACACGTGCAAAAAGTAATAATGTTTAATTCAAATAAAACCATGCAACAGGTCATTAACACCCTGATTAGATTAAACCTGTTATAAAACAAACATCCAAAGCCATACATTGTGTTCAGTGGGCATACACTGTATGAGAGGTGACTCCTTGAAGCATACATGGATCAGCTGAGAGACTAAAACAAAAAAACTAAAAGAAACCACCACCCTCCCCCTGCTAATAATCAATCACCATCACAAAGAGCTATGAACCATATGGCACACTGAAGACAGGTCTGAGAGCATGAGTGAGACAGCAGTGCCCTGTTGATAAATACGTAGCAGAATGTCTAGTAGCAGTTTATTCCCATGTACCAGACATGCACTCACTTAAGGAACGGCCCGGAGAATTCACATTGTCGGGATTGCAGAAGCTGGGGGATTTGAGAATATAGTGTCGCCTGGAAGACCAAGCACTATGGTGTTTTGAGTCATTTTCTTTTCTTTTCTATGTGAAGGAAATCTTGATTCAGCATACTGCAAGATATGTTGGTGCCAGCTTTGTGAAAATATTATCCAAATTATTCTAACCATCAACATCCACATTTCATTCGGGATTATAGTAGTATTTTTGTGTTGCTGTGCAAGTTGATTCAAATCCCTGACCCACAATACCCATGTAACAAGCACTAACTGTCCCCACTTGACATGAAGAATCCAGTGTGCACACACACGTAACTGATACACCCGATCAGGACATTGTTATTTTACAATCTGTATGTAGAACACAAAGGTAATAAAAAAATAACAATATTAAGATGTACAGTATTTTTGTTTCCTAATGCTTGGTCTGCACCGTGAGCTTTCATGGATGACTGGGCACTGGGTTGGGAGGTCTGGTTCACCTGCACCTCCCTCTCCGTCCAATCAGAGGCTCCAGAGGAGGAAGCAGAGTCGAGAGTCTTGGGTAACATGAGAGTCAGTGTAAAATGTTATGGATTGTGTGTGTGTGTGTGTGTGTGT